GTGATCTAGTAGCGACCAGTGAAGAGGCGGGGCCAGGAGCTTGGACTCGAACCCTGAAACCTCAACTAGGTGAGTACAACTAGGTGAGTACACACACACATGCACACATACATGCACACACATACGCACGCACCCGTTTCGAGTGTGTTCCAGGAGGCGGGAGAATGTGTCGCAGGATCTAATCTCGGCTGGCCGTAGTTTGATATATATATGTCGTGCCGAATAGGTAAAACTTTCGATCTTGGCTTAAATAGCAACGCTCATCTTGCCATATAGGACAAGTGAAAATTTGTGTATGTAATAACTTCTCCAAAATCATTCTGAACCTAACGATAAAAATATATTTGATTGTGTTTATTTAGTACTAAATTATTGTAAACGTATTTAAAATATATTTAGTTGGGTTAGGCTAAAATAAACTGCTCTTGTTATAATAAGGTTAAGTAAGTTTTCTAAGATTCTTTTGGTGCAAAATTAAAAATTTCAGAAACGACTTAATTTTAAATGAGTTCTTGCTAATTAGCAAAAGACTTGGCAGACGATGCAACATCCCCCCAATGAAAAGCAGGGGTGTCACTAGCACGTTAAGAGACCATACAATAAGTGTCAGGGGCCCGAGACTGTTCAACTGCCTCCCAGCATACATAAGGGGGATTACCAACAGACCCCTGGCAGTCTTCAAGCTGGCACTGGACAAGCACCTAAAGTCGGTTCCTGATCAGCCGGGCTGTGGCTCGTACGTTGGTTTGCGTGCAGCCAGCAGTAACAGCCTGGTTGATCAGGCTCTGATCCACCAGGAGGCCTGGTCACAGACCGGGCCGCGGGGGCGTTGACCCCCGGAACTCTCTCCAGGTAAACTCCAGGTAATTGACCAGTTTTACATATTCGGCACGATATATATATATGTCGTGCCGAATAGGCAGAACTTGCGATCTTGGCTTAAATAGCAACGCTCATCTTGCCATATAGGACAAGTGAAAATTTGTCTATGCAATAATTTCGCCAAAATCATTCCGAACCTAACGAAAAAAATATATTTCACTCTGTTTGTTTAGTATTAAATTACTGTAAACAAATCTAAAATATATTTAGTTGGGTTAGGCTAAAATAAATTGTTCTTGTTATAATAAGGTTAGGTAAGTTTTCTAAGATTCTTTTGGTGCAAAATTAAAATTTTTTACATTAACATTAATGAAAAAAATATATCTTTAAACGTATAAAAGAAAATTTCAGAAAGGACTTAATTTTAAATGAGTTCTTGCTAATTGACCAGTTTTACATATTCGGCACGACATAATATATATATATATATATATATATATATATATATATATATATATATATATATATATTATATATTTATATATATATATATATATATATATATATATATATATTGCAAACAATAAATGAAAATTAAATAAATCTAAAGCATAATAATAAAATAACGTAATGATTTACACAGCGATTCCAAGATTACAGGGTGAAGCCAGCTCGGTGCCAGACCCTGACGTAGTGCCGGCAGCAGCCACGGACCCAGCTGCACCAGACACTCCTTACCACACTGACAGTGTATATGCACTCAGAGTTCTAATTTTCAGGACATATACGATCTTGTTTGATATCATACAATCTTCTCAAAGATCGGTGCACTTAAAACAGAAAAAAATGGAAGAAGAAACCTGAAGTGTGAGCAACTGGGAGTACGTACGACAGCCTGGTCATGGACGGAGTCTGTTGATATCCGTGTTTTTTGGTGTCATCGTCCCAGTATTAGATGGCTCAGAGTTGGATTTCCGTTATTTACCGCCAGGCGCGTGTATAGATTAATGTTGTTAGCACTGAGAATGTTTTTATACATCCCGGGAACCTTGTACAGAGCATCAGTTGCCACTCTAACGATAGCCAAACCAAAGTTGGTCAGAGAGCTTGGTCACATACTGCAAGCGACGAATGGTTGTGTTGGAGATCCACGATGTGACAAGAGAAGGTATTTGTTTAGTAGTCAACATCGCCCTGAGGTAAGGCGTCTTGTTTAATGACGGCAGGTACCTAGTACAGGGCTGGCCGGTGTCTCTTCTCCCAGTCAGGGTCAACTAGTCAGTTCTTCGTCTCGTTCTCTTTCTATTTTTTTAGTGAAACTATCGTTAAAAAAAAAAAATGGGTGCTGAGGAACAACGTGTCCATCCCGTTTAGAACGTTGCTTTTCCTCCCCTCCTTGTGAAGTTCCGACTATACATGTTTGCTTATTCTCCAACTTTACTCTCGCTCATTCTTAAACAATTCTAGGTTCATTCTTATGGCACTGTAGTATATATTGATGATTCTAGAGCCTCACATGGTGTCTGGTATCCAGACAATCCAAGGTCATTTACTAGAGTAGACCATTATTTTCACAGAAGATATATATATTTCTCAGTGCTGTCATACCCATTGCGACTTTGTCCTCCTCGTCATTCGCAGTCGTTTCGGACTCTCAGACTACGTTAATGCTCTGAAGTCGCTTTTCTAGTAAACGTAAAAAAATGTAGTAATTTGCTGGGTCCCTGGACACACTGATGTTCGGGGCAATGAGCATGCAGACTCAGCCGCTCGGTCAGTTATTCGGGAAACTCGAAATTCCACAGAGGAATTCTTTTCTCGGACTTTTTTTCTTTACTCTCTCACCTCCTCCGCAACATCTGTCAACAACACTGATCCGAGATGGACCACAAGAAACTGTGGTCTAGAATTCTGTTCATCTTTCCATTACTCCGTTGGGAGATTGTATTCTTCTCACGCATAGTACATATCGGACACACGAGACTCACTCGCTGATACCACATGGAGAACCGACCAGCACTTCTCTGTGTGGACTGTCAGATTGCACTGTTAGTCCATCATGTCTTACTAGATTGTCCTGTCTATCAGCATGTCCCTGTATGCAACGTTGTATGATCTTAACGGGTTTAAGGCTTCAATTGACTATAATGACAGCAGCAGCAATTGTTTCTAGACTAAATCGTTTACTATTAAATGGGAGGAATTATATAAGACTCTTATCATTTATTCGATGCACCACCAAGCTTCGTGGCTGATGCAGGAGCAGACGGGTGTGAGACGTAAATGTGGATACACCAGACGTGGAATCGTATTGCATACAGCACATTATTAAGCTGGTGAGCTGGTACAGGAGTAGCTGGGTGGGTGACACCGCAAGCAATTTCGCGAGTTGTGGCATACCCTTGTATAAAGCACGTCACTAAGCTGGTAAGCTGGTACAGGGGTAGCTGGGCGTGTGCCGCAAAAAGTTAGTTGAGCAGATCTGATGTCCTCTTGGTCTGATCGGATATTAACTCTATGAAAGTTGATTCTGCTTGACCAGTTCCTTATTAACACATCAGGTGTCGTCTTGATGTCCTTCATTAGCAGTTGAAGCATTGCTTTGCTGCCTGAGAGCGGTCTCATATTCGCTGTACATGAAAGCAATAAACAGTATATACCGCTTCAAGAGTACGGTAGAGTTGTTATTGGAAGAGCTATTGGTAAGATAGAAATTTGGATTGCAGAGGAAGAGGGAAAACTTAAGAAAAGTAGAGGAAGGGTTTGAGTGCGGCCAGCAGTAACAGCCTGGTTGAACACACCCTGATCCACCATGAGGCCTGGTCTTAGACCGAGCCGAGGGGGCGTTGACCCCCGAAACCCTCTCCAGGTAAACTCCAGGTACTGAAACATATAAAGATAAGGAACCGTTCGTCATATTTATGGATTTAGAAAAGGTATATGATAGAGTGAAAAATGGATTAACATAAGAGATGTATCAAGTGCATGCAACTGGCAGTACGTTATTACAAGAAGCGAAGAGGGAAGGAATGTGTACTTGTCAGGTTTAAAATTGTATGCCTTAAATTAAGCATATTTTTTATAATATAGTTTGATACTCTCGTTTTATATTTGCTAGTCTGATGTTGTCTAAAGCGATATTGAGAGCACTTGTGTTGAACTGCAATGTTCTGGCTGTGTTACTCTTGTATCTCCGCTGACGCAGCAACAAGCTATGTATGGGTCGAGCCCATGTGGGTGGCTGGACACATGTGGGTGTGTAGCCATGAACCCTGTCACCATGTAAACTTGTGTGTGTGTGTGTGTGTGTGTGTGAGTGTCATTCCATTAATAATCGCCACCAGTACCTCTGCTACCATCACCCCTCCACTACCACCATCACTCCACCACTACCACCATAACCCCACCACTACCACCATAACCCCACCACTACCACCATAACCACACCACTACCACCATCACCCCACCACTACCACCATAACCCCACCACTACCACCATAACCACACCACTACCACCATCACCCCACCACTACCACCATCACCCCCCACTACCACCATCACTCCATCACAGTCACCATCACTCCGCCACAATTATTCCTTCCATTTACTGTCATTAACTATTCTTGGTAGAGTTCTCGACGTATACACTGGCGGACGGAGGACAGCACCTGCACGGGTCAGAGCGCCGAATGGCCCACACGGGTTTAACACTAATCTAGATTTTCAAACTAGACTTTTTTGTTATATACAAATTAGAAAATGAAAACTGGTTCAACAACACTTTATGAAAAAGATATAAATATTCATAAATAATAATAATTATCATTATTATTCAACATTTACAATATTTTTAATGAATAACTCATAATTTCTGTCTTCCACACACACACATACACACAACGGAGAGGCGAGGCCAGGAGCTATGACTCGACTCCTGCAACCACAATAAGGTGAATTAGGTGAGTACACGCAACAGTCAAGTGTTTATCGACAAGTGCCTTTGACAACTGGTTGTTAACTAACTAACACACTTCTTATCCGCCTTGTTGATCCCAGGAGACACGTCCTACCCACCTTGTTTGTCCCAGGACACATATCCTATCCACCCTGTTCGTCCAGCACCGCGTCCTACCCACCTGTTGGACCCAGATATCCTCAAACACCAACACAAGACTCACCCAGGTCCGACCCATGCCGCAACCTTGAGAACACTGAGTCTGGGCCTTGGCATTCACATCGGATTTATACCCCGAGTACGTCATCTTCGACTCGTTGCCACATGTCTGCAACGAACGCAATGCCTTGCATAATAATATATATATATATATATAATATATATTTTATAAATGTATATATATATATATATATATATTTATATATATATTATATACCAATAGGAATATTTTATTTCATAATATGGTACCGAAGATTTAAGAGATACATTGTTGATATAAAGGTGGTATATACGGTACATGTTATTACGTGTGTATCACCGATTATAAGGCGAAAATCTCATCCAGCTCCTCAGACCTGGGGCGTGTGCCCAAAATACAGCAGGCATTACCCCCTTTGAACAGCCGCACTGAGCCGCTGGAACAGAAAACTAGCTGCCCTGGGATCCCTAGTTACCCTGATGAGTCTTTTTCCCAGCTCCTTAAGGAATTTAGATGCATTCTTTCCCCATGAGCCAAGGGTCTCTGAGCCTATGGGAACAAACATATAATGAAAGGCAAGTTCTCCATATTTTCTAGACTTTTGGGACTCCCTGAAGCTGGCAGCTGACCCTCCTTCCTCCCTGGTGTATTGGAGATAGGTATCAGCCAAGGTAAATGCACATGTGTAGTCCCACACCACCTGCTTCCCATCTGTCCAGGCTTGAAGGGTGATACCATCTGGACGCTTCTGGCTGCCATCAGATCTGCATAGCTGGGGTGGCTCCCTTACTGCTGGGCATCCGGCTGTTGTGAGGCTCCTCTTGATAATGTTATTAACCTCCTCATGTCTTGCAATCTTTCCCTCGGATTTACGGCACACAAGACCATGGTACCCGAATCGGTCTGCTGCTACACTGCCACAAATACACCTGTGTTCGGCGAGAATAGGGGCGGCAAGTCGAAGGGCAACACCGATGCGGATGGTCTGTGGGTCGAGGCGTGTGCTAAGGCTGGAGTTGGGAACAGTCAACAGAAAGTCCCCTGCATGAGGGGCTCTCACTGCCAGGAGGCGGGTTCTGTCCTTCCCTGGCACACTCTGAAGCATTGTTGAGGCTATATTTTCCACTATTGGACCATCCCAGTGCGATTGTTTGTAGTTGTTGGGGAGAGCAGGTCTGGTTTCAGAGCCCATTAGATTATCCCAGATCATGGCTCCGTCAATGAACTTTTAGTCCTACTGAATTCTAATGGATAATTGGACAAGGATACTGACTACTTGTTACGAAAACCCAGTAACAGGCTGGATGCTAGAAGGGCAGTCCTTTCTAGTATTCACTGGAGATCTCTAAGCTTTTAGAATCGCGTTTTTTGTAACAGTGTGTGTGTGTGTGTGTTGTGTGTGTGTGTGTACTCACTCACCTATTTGTACTCACCTATTTGTGGTTGCAGGGGTCGAGTCCTAGCTCCTGGCGCCGCCTCTTCACCGGTTGCTACTAGGCCCTCTCTCTCCCCGCTCCATGAGCTTTATCAAACCTCGTCTTAAAACTGTGTATGGTTCCTGCCTCCACTACGTCATTTTCTAGGCTATTCCACTGCCTTACAACTCTATGACTGAAGAAATACTTCCTACTATCTCTCTGACTCATTTGTGTCTTCAACTTCCAATTGTGGCCTCTTGTTTCTGTGTCCCCTCCCTGGAACATCCTGTCCTTGTCCACCTTGTCTATTCCACGCAGTATTTTATATGTCGTTATCATGTCTCCCCTGACCCTCCTGTCCTCCAGTGTCGTCAGGCCGATTTCCCTTAATCTTTCTTCATAGGACATTCCCCTTAGCTCTGGAACTAACCTTGTTGCAAACCTTTGTACTTTCTCTAGTTTCTTGACGTGCTTTATCAAGTGCGGGTTCCAAACAGGTGCTGCATACTCCAGTATGGGCCTGACATACACGGTGTACAGTGTCTTGAATGATTCCTTACTAAGGTATCGGAATGCTGTTCTCAGGTTTGCCAGGCACCCATATGCTGCAGCAGTTATCTGATTGATGTGTGCTTCCGGAGACATGCTCGGTGTTATACTCACCCCAAGATCTTTCTTCTTGAGTGAGGTTTGCAGTCTTTGGCCACCTAGCCTATACTCTGTCTGTGGTCTTCTGTGCCCTTCCCCTATCTTCATGACTTTGCATTTGGCAGGATTAAATTCGAGAAGCCATTTGCTGGACCAGGTGTCCAGTCTGTCCAGGTCTCTTTGAAGTCCTGCCTGGTCCTCATCAGATTTAATTCTCCTCATTAACTTCACATCATCTGCAAACAGGGACACTTCTGAGTCTAACCCTTCCGTCATGTCGTTCACATATACCAAAAATAGCACTGGTCCTAGGACCGACCCCTGTGGGACCCCGCTCGTCACTGGCGCCCACTGTGATACCTCATCACGGACCATGACTCGCTGTTGCCTCCCTGTTAGGTATTCTCTTATCCATTGCAGTGCCCTTCCTGTTATATGTGCCTGATCTTCTAGCTTTTGTACTAATCTCTTGTGAGGAACTGTGTCGAAGGCCTTCTTGCAGTCCAAGAAAATGCAATCAACCCACCCCTCTCTCTCGTGTCTTACTTCAGTTACCTTGTCATAAAACTCTAGTAGGTTTGTGACACAGAATTTGCCTTCCATGAATCCGTGCTGGCTGGCGTTTATAATCTTGTTCCGGTTTAGGTGCTCCACCACTCTCATCCTGATAATCTTTTCCAAGACTTTGCATACTATACATGTCAGTGACACTGGTCTATAAATTAGTGCTTCATTTCTGTCTCCCTTCTTAAAGATGGGGACTACATTTGCCTTCTTCCACACTTCAGGTAGTTGCCCAGTTTCAAGGGAAGTGTTGAAGATTTTGGTTAGTGGCACACGTAGTGTCTCTACTCCCTCTCTAAGGACCCCTGAGGGGAAAGTCCGGTCCCCCCCGCTGTGAGGTATCAAAGGGCACTTTGGAGCTTCTCCACCTTTTCCTCAGTTGTGTGTAATTCTCCAACACTTGTTTGGTATATCCCTTGTTGCTGTACCCCACTGTTTTGTCTTCCCGTTGTCCTTCAGCCTCCACTGTAAATACTTCCTGAAATCTCATGTTGAGCTCCTCACATACCTCCTGGTCATTTCTTGTGAGTTCCCCACCTTCCTTCCTCAGCCTGATTACCTGGTCCTGACTGTTGTCTTCCTCCTGATGTGGCTGTTTGAGTTTTCGGATCAGACTTGACTTTCGATGCTACGTCCATTTTCATTTTACTGCCGCTGCGCCTCTTCCCTTTTCTGTGCATACTCGTTTCTGGCTCGTCGTGTGTGTGTGTGTGTGTGTGTGTGTGTGTGTGTGTGTGTGGTTGTGTTTTGTGTGTGTGTGTGGTGTGTGTTTTTGGGGGTGTGGTGTGTGTGTGGTGTGTGTGTTGTAGTGTGTGTGTACTCACCTAATTCACCTAATTGTTATTGCAGGGGTCGAGACTCAGCTCCTGGCCCCTCCTCTTCACTGACCGCTACTGGGTCCTCCCTCTTCCTGCTCCATGAGCTTTATCATACCTCGTCTTAAAACTATGTATAGTTCCTGCCTCCATTACATCGCTTGCCAGTCTATTCCACTTCCTATCAACTCTGTGGATGAAGAAATACTTCCTAACATCCCTGTGACTCATCTGAGTTTTCAGCTTCCAATTGTGACCCCTTGTTTCTGTGTCCCATCTCTGGAACATCCTGTCTCTGTCCACCTTGTCTATTCTGCGCAGTATTTTGTATGTCGTTATCATGTCTCCCTTGACTCTCCTGTCCTCCAGTGTCGTCAGACCGATTTCCCTTAACTTTTCTTCATAGGACATTCCCCTTAGCTCTGGAACTAGCCTTATTGCAAACCTTTGCACTTTCTCTAATTTCTTGACTTGTTTGACCAGGTGTGGGTTCCAAACTGGTGCTGCGTACTCCAGTATGGGCTTTACGTACACAGTGTATAAAGTCTTGAACGATTCCTTACTGAGGTACCGGAACGCTATTCTCACGTTTGCCAAGCGCCCATATGCTGCAGCAGTTACCTGGTCGATGTGTGCCTCGGGAGACGTGCCCGGTGTTATGGTCACCCCAAGATCTTTCTCCTTGAGTGAGGTTTGCAGTCTTTGTCCACGTAGCCTATACTCTGTCTGCGGTCTTCTTTGCCTTTCTCCGATCTTCATGACTTTGCATTTGGCGGGGTTAAATTCTAGGAGCCAGTTGCTGGACCACGGATCCAGCCTGTCCAGGTCTCTTTGTAGACCTGTCTGGTCCGCATCTCATTTAATTCTTTTCATTAACTTCACGTCATCTGCAAACAGGGACACTTCTGAGTCTATTCCTTCCGTCATGTCGTTCATATATACCAAGAATAGTACTGGTCCCAGGACTGACCCCTGTGGGACCCCGCTCGTCACTGGCGCCCACTGTGATACCTCATCACGGACCATGACTCGTGTGTGTGTGTGTGTGTGTGTGTGTGTGTGTGTGTGTGTGTGTGTGTGTGTGTGTGTGTGTGTGTGTGTGTGTGTGTGTGTGTGTGTGTGTGTGTGTGTGTGTGTGTGCGTGTGCGTGGGCGTGTGTGTGTGTGTGTATGTGTGTGCGTGTGTGTGTGTATGTGTGTGTGTGCGTGTGTATGTGTGTGTGTGTGTGTGTGCGTGTGCGTGTGCGTGTGTGTGTTTGTGTGTGTGTGTGTGTGTGTGTGTGTGTATACTCACCTAGTTGTACTCACATAGTTGAGGTTGCAGGGGTCGAGTCCGAGCTCCTGGCCCCGCCTCTTCACTGGTCGCTACTAGGTCACTCTCTCTGAACCGTGAGCTTTATCATACCTCTGCTTAAAGCTATGTATGGATCCTGCCTCCACTACATCGCTTCCCAAACTATTCCACTTACTGACTACTCTGTGGCTGAAGAAATACTTCCTAACATCCCTGTGATTCATCTGTGTCTTCAACTTCCAACTGTGTCCCCTTGTTACTGTGTCTAATATCTGGAACATCCTGTCTTTGTCCACCTTGTCAATTCCTCTCAGTATT